AACATTTTGTCTATACTGTATTCAAAATCAAAATCCGCAATGTCTGCTTAACAAGCACCATGTCTGGTTATCAGCCTATAAAATGTTACCAATTCAGGAAACAATACTCTAATCGCTAAAGTTAACCATTATCATCTCACCAACAACCATGCCCAAATAATGAGGCACTCGCTATTTCATAAGTCATCAGAGATTTTATAGTATTATAATGTACCTAAGTAAGTACTCCACTGGAATTGAAATTCGTTTGTTCGTCGTCTCTATTTCCTGAGAAAACGGATGACCTGGAAGTTACTATCTCATGCAATACGGCAAAAAACAAAAGAGAAAATCAAGCAAAAATTACGAAAAATTTTGCTCCTTCCCACGGCATTGGGATGTTTTCACGATGATCGACGCAGGGATCGAACCTGCGACCTACCGCGTGGTACAACACAGTTGGAGGTGATAGATAGGATGGTAATAATGGTAATGGTAATGGTGTTCGGAAGAGTGCTATTGGGCAAAAGGGTAGAGGCAAGGGCGCAAAAAGAGGGAAGAGGGCTAAGACGTCTGCATAAAGTTACGGTTACCGGGTCTCATAAATATATTAAGCTTGGTTCCTGCCTATAGACACCCTATAACAACCCCAGCCATGTTGTGCGAGGACATTGCCCCTATTCCTGATTTATACTTAGGTTAGCGACTTTACCAATGTCAGCGACAGGACTGTCCGCTATATACAACAATTTAGAAATAGCCAGAAGACTTACACTTATCTAAGTCCATGCCCGCAGAGGCATCTTTGTTGCCGCCCGAACCAGAAGCGCCGCCTGATGAACCAGCACCACCGCCGGAGCCGGAGCCCGAGGGACTTTTGCCGCCGCCGGAGCCAGAAGAAGCACTCGTGACCTATTTGATAAATTAATAAGCTATATTGTTGTAGAGCATCAGCAAACTAACTTGCTCTCTCAGCTTAGCGACTCTGTCTTCGGCCTTTTGAAGGTCTCTCTCCAGTTGTTTCTTGCTTCTTTTCTTTTTTTTCTGTGTATAGCTTAGTAATTAGGCATAGACTAGTAATACTCTATAGTATACTGCTTACCTTCTCGACACGGCCGTCCTGGGGGCCGCCGGGGGGTGGTTTGCCGCCTCCGGCACCGCCGGCACCGCCACCGCGTGACGAGCCTTGGAAGTGGTTAATAGTGGCGTGTCGAATCGAATAGCTATAGAATTAGTCAGCTGATGCATTGGTATACTTGATTTCTTAACATCAAATTAGGGATAGATTTATCAGTATAAGTATTGGAAAGGGTATAGGGACAGCTCCTATGAGGAGGTGGAGGTGGAACAGAATGAGCTAGTCTCCCCGAAGCAACAGGTGAGGAGACAAGGAAAGCGAAGGTGTTATGTGATATAATATGCATTGTATATTGACTAATAAGTGTGAACATAGTGTCATCCGTCGACAGGAGTATCACTATAGACTTCGGTGGTGTGGTGGGCAGGGAATAGACTGAGAGGCGTGGATATGATGCAGCTCATTTATCTAAGCAGTATCAGATGCCTGAGCATTTAAATTGAAGATAGGGTATATTTATGTGAAGACTCGGTATGTCTCATATAATTACTCGATATAGACGGTACCTAGGTAAATAAGGTGTATCGTGGTTTAAGGAACTTCGTACTCACCTCATGGTGACTAGGTTGAGGAGGGAAAAAAAGGAAGAATTTCGAAGAGGGAGGAGCTTGACGAAATCTTTTCTATGGACGGAGAGCACACAGGCTACACTAGCAAGTAGGTCCTTCCCGAGGACGTAGATGCCCAGAAGATTTGGACGTGACTGCACTTTTAATGCACCTAGGTGGGAATGCACATAAGTAAGGTTATGACTACCTAGGTATATACCTAGGTACCTATGTTTCAATCGTATTACCTGCTTTAGCTACAAGGTACATTGAATATACCTTCTGATAGATATATCGAGTACATATATGCAAGTGTCATTCATCATCGGATGAAATCGACACGACATGAAGTTGACAGCACTACCATACCTACATACTACTAAAGGCAACAGAACATAATATTTATATAAAGTGCTGAAATTAGGTAGTCAAGCTAACAGCCTAGAAGTACACAGTCTCGATGAGGCCAGCGAGACTAACGAGCTGTTTATCTGATGTAACTAGATTCTTTTAAGCCATCCTGGAAAACTGATTGTTTAAATACATTGGATCATGTCCGTCTATCCACCATACGCCCCGTTTGATATATCCAGGTAGGTATTCTATGACGGGAACGGCATATCGCGAGATGAGTCTAGGGTATATACATTTCCAGTTTCATATCACTCGAAGAAACTGCCCTAACGCCTTTATCATCCAGACTATACCTCATCCCTGGTATCTGACGTGGGCGGGTACACCATGTGCGAATTTTCTAGTTCTGGATTTAGGGGTATCCAAGAGGGTGGCAACTTGGCCAGGCACCTCCCAAGTAGGCTTTACAAGACAGGAAACTTGGATCCGTCTCGCTGAGCATTGCACGTAGCAGGGTGTTTCACAGCTAAGAGATACCTACACCTAAGGTAGGTACCTACATGTACATGTTATTTCTTACGAGATGGAAGGAGGTAGGGGGTACCTGCCCAACTTACAAGCCTCAAAAACGCGGGTCCTTCTTTCCCTTCTTCGCACGAAGACCCGCTACGAATCTTTTGACCTGGGAGCGAACTTGATTGAACCTGTCCTTTTCATCTTTTAGATCAAAGTCGTGTATCGTAAATCTTACAGCGTACGCAATTCTAGTTCGATTTAACTGATTATACTTGACTATTGTTCGTTGTCTCGCCCCTGGCCCCTATTTTTTTCATCTCAAATTGTTTCAAGATGGATTGCGATCGAAAGAAGCGAGAGTTGAATGATGTAGATGAGGCTGGTCCACCAGAGAAAATGATGAAGATGGATCCTACCGACCCCTTCGATGATATTCCTATCACAGTTGGCGATGCTGGCATTGCTAACGATTTGGAATGTCTGGCCGAACTACTTGATCCTCTTGAATCGGCTCCAACGGCGCTGGGTGAGATTCAAACTGATGTATCGAATGCTAATGATGCTCCAGAAATTGATCCGTCGGAAATTAGCCTCGATGTGTTCGAACACCTTCCTGGCCTGACCCGAGGCGGAACCTGGAGTGATACCTTCCTCGGACTTATCGAGGACGACGAGATTAGAGAGTCGATACGTTCGTTTAGCGATGCGCATAGACCATCGAACTGGACCCGCGGAAAGTCCCTCGAGGACATCGACCACCCTTCTCCCGGCGATGAAGATAACTGGGCCAATCATGACCCCGAGATTACCGAACGCTGGAACTCCGTCGTAGAAGATCTCTATGGATTGCTTGGCGAAGAGCTTACTGCCTCGACATTATGCAAACCATCTGGGCCTCTCGACGCCATCCTGACCTGCCGTTGGCACTACCCAAGCTTCACCACGAAGAAACTATCTTGGGGGCATGTGGCTGATAGAACTAACCCGTGTCTGCAAACACAGTTCAGAAAGGTCGGCTCAAACCCTTATATCAGGACGGAGAATCTATATCCGATCCGTGTCGACTACGCTCCTCTCAAAGGACGCCGCCTCTTTTTCGAGCATGCACAGCAGAGCAGAATCGAAAAGATATGCTTTGACTTCATTAAGTGGCTCGACTCTCGCTCCAAGTTTCTAATCCTTCTTGGCGAAGAAAACTTTAAGTGTTTCGATGGCCTAATTGAGGTAAAGGAAGGCTGTGAGGCGAAGAAAGTAGAGCTTCGATGCCCAGGCATACCCGGCATGTACGGAAAGACGCCCTCTATCGTAGTCATTCGCGACAAGATCACGCATGACATCCAGCAGGTGGCATTCTTTTCGTTTCACTCCCAGACGTTCTTTCATGGTGGTCTTGACCAAATTTGCTTTGCAGCATACCATGACGTCCTGTGGAATGCAGTTCTCGAATTGTCTGGTCTACAAATCCTCTCTGCCAATAGCTTTCTAGTCACAGCGAAGCGTAGCATTGCGTTGGTGAGGAAACCGGCTGCTGGCAAGAACTATGGAAGACTAAAGCTAGCCTTTGGTCTGCGCGCAGAAGAGAAATCGACCGGCATACTCTTAGAAGAGTCCTTAGTACAACGAATTTTTAAGACGTTCTACGAAAAGGATTCTGAGATATTCGACATGATGCCGCTAGACGCTTCGGAGAGCCATGTCTCCCGGGTCATACGTGTCCAGTCTTATAAAGCGGCAATCGCAAGAGAAGAGCAGACGAGGAAACAACTTCGAGGCAAGCGCATGGCATTTGGTCGTGTAAAACAAGTCGCTGAAATTGTGGCTAAGCCAAAGCCCGACGGTTTTTACGAGTACTGGATAAGATCTCTGGCACTCGAGTTCCCCACTTTCTCGTCCAACAATAGAAACAATCTTTGTTGGGTAGGCAGACACGTCCAGTGGTGGTCTGAAGAGTACCCTGGGGGACTTCGCTGGTCTGGGGACGGTTGTACCGACCCTGATAATTTTCCCTACGAGGAAAAATATCATCCGGCTGTCAGCCTACGTAGGGACCTGACTTGGGAGGAGAGAGAGATGCTCAAACCCCCCGAGAAGAGGCATCCAGAAGCTGAAGCAATGGTTAAACGCCTCACAGTTCTCCCTTATTAGTATCTTTCCTACTTTGCTATAGCTATGGCATTAGTGACCGGAGAGCTTACATTCCACGCGGCTAATTCGTTCGAAGCTTTGCTTCTTACTGACAGGCTGCAAGGATACACCGTGGTTGGTCCGTTTGAGCTCTGTTCTCTTACTGAAATACTGCGAAGCTTTTGGGAGTGGCTCGTTCGAGGTTTTGGCCTCTTACTGAATCGTCCCGAGAGAATCAATCAATGAAATCAATCGATGATTGCGCGGCTAGGTTGCTAATCCACGTTCTCTTTGACCGTGGTGTAACTTGGCCGGGTGGTGGTGGGACCTTTTTTTTTTTTGATCGACTGGTGGAGTGGTTACCACATCTGTCTTGCATCCATGCTTTAACGGCGCGATGTAAACCGACAGAAGGTCGCGGGTTCGATTCCTGCGTCGATCTTTAGGAAAATATGGAAAAATGTGCGACTTTTCGCAGGAGCAGCATCTTGAAGGTAATGTACGAACTCCCTCCCCCTGTTATCGATTCTCGCTATCATGTCTATCGTCGGATACAGGTACCCGGGCTGTAATAGCGACGGCATTCATCCAGCCAACAGACCAGACGGCTACAGAGGTTTAATTAGTAGGTCTAACTTGTCTCTCTAACACTTCACGTAAGTCAATCCCGCTAACAGTATCAAAAGATCTCTGAAGAGCACAAACAAAGGCTAAAAAGTTGATCGACGCAGGGATCGAACCTGCGACCTACCGCGTTGTACAATAGAATTGTAAAGCGGGTGTGATGACCACTACACCAGTCGACCGACCAGTCCCGAAACATGATAATCTCGGGACTGGGTAAAAGTCACCCGCTGTGGGGGAGCTTGAATTGAAAGACGTCCACAAAACAAGAACTATATAGCTCGGGGTAAGCTTACAGGTTCCGCCAGGTGGGTTCTTGGTTCAGACGGAATTTAGTGGACAGACAACATAGAGAGGTGGCACACATACGTACATGTAGGTAGTACGTAGTGTGAGTTTGTATCTCCCATATTTTTAGAAACATGATTCAGTATGAAGGCGTATTTGCAAAGAGAGCATCTTCAAGCTTATAGGATTATATCAATGGAATATTTGATTCCAGACGTTATACTACAGCCTATGCAGTGAGCGTGGACTACTATCAACTGTGCTACTTAGATGCTCGCGACCCGAACAAAAATCATGCAGTCAACAGAAGCAAAAGATCAATAGTGTGTGAAGTTGGATGAGACTTGACGAACACAGGCTGAAATATGTTAGGCAGACTCGAAGAGAGCTCTCATGAGGCTCTATACAATTATTAAACTTAATTATTTATAGAACTTCTCTTAAGCTTAAATAGCTTGCTCTTTCCTTCGTCTATGGTGTTGAATTGATCTGTGGGAAACTGCACATAACAATTGTGTAACTGCCTGCCTTGCTACCTGTCGAGCTGAACAGACTATCGATAAGCACCGAGACATCACCAAGTTCCAAGCTAAAAAATTAGCTCAGCAAGGTGTTACAACGCTGTGCAGTCCAAAAAGTGAAATACCATGCACAATACAGCTGCCAGAGCACTTTTACGGCAAAGTCTTGCTCGTCCAGAGCTTGGAAGAGTGTAAGTCTTTCCAATTGACTTTGACAATAAGACCAATCCTTCTTACTTTTCGCCATCACAGTCGAAATGTAGCTCGACAAGTCTACAGCTCGAAGCAGCAGCAGCAGCAGCCACAATGTCTCAGACCAACAACCCCCGCCGCAGCAGCAGCAGCAGCAGCGTGCACATTACTACAGAACACCGCTGTAGTAGCAGAAAACATACGAGCCTTCCACACGACCCCCCTCAGAAGCAAGGGTAAATCAAGAGAGCCAGGGTGGAGCAATCCCAAGCAAAAGATCAAGGAAGACCGCAAGAAGCGCGAGTCGGAAGCATCAGCATCAGCAGCAGCAGCATCATCCCGCGCCGCAGAAGGCGACCACGACGACGACTCCTCCTCCAGCGGACCCAAGCACCCGCAGCCGAACCCAGAAGAGCCGCTAGACTTCGCGGACGTGGAGTCGCGCCTCCGGCGGCACGACGAGCACTTCCGGGAGCTGCTCAAGAAGCTCAAGACGGGCGGGCGGTTCAACCCGGACGTCGTGGGGTCGCTGCGCGTGGTGCCGGACCGGAAGAGGAGGCCCGACGCGTCGTACCCGCTGCGCGACGTGGCGCAGGTGATCCCGCGGGGCGGCCGGACGATCTCGGTGCTGGCGCACGAGGAGGCGTACGTGAAGGCCATCATGAGCGCGGTCCAGGCCAGCCCCGACTTCAACCAGCAGCCGCAGCGGGACCCGGACAACGAGCTCGAGCTGGTCCTCAAGATCGAGCCCGAGCGCCGCGACGACCTGGTCAGGCGCGTCAAGGCCGCGTGCAACGAGTGGCGCGACCGCGTGCGCAGCGTCCGCCAGAAGCGCGACAAGTTGCACGCGACCTGGAAGAAGGACGGCGCGCTGGGCCCGGATGCCAAGAGGACCGCGGATAAGGAGCTGGATAAGGTGATCAAGAGTAAGATGGGCGAGATTGATGACGCGGAGAAGGATGCGCTTAAGGCGGCTGAGACTAAGTAGTTGTGTGCGTAGGCTCACGGTAGACTACCTGTTGATATATGGTCTGGAAACTGGATCTGCATAGAGATGTAGGTATCAGGTAGACCAAGATTATAGTTATGAAGAAACATAGCATATCTTAAGCAAAGCTATTGACAGAGATGCGCATGTTCGTATTGACTTCATGTACATTGGAGTGATCGTGTTGATACACTCTCTCGTGATAGTACATACAGGTAGGTGCAGTCTTAGATACACGCCAGATTCTAAAGGCAGAGGAACCCAATACTACCACTCCTTGATCATAGGAGGCCGATAGACACGACGACATCAATCAAGCCTTAGCAACCCCAGCAGCACCACTCTTCCTACCCCCCAGCAAACTCCGAACCTTCTCCTCAATGCCCCTCTCAGCGCCCACATTCCAAGTGCCATCCCGTCGAACATAGCCACGCAAAGTAGCCACCGTATCCGCGGGATCCGCATACTTGGGCCCTTCATACCGCCCGAGCAGCGCGTCCTCCAGCACCGCGGTCTTGACCTCGGACGGCGCCGCCACCTCCCTATCCATCAGAACCTGTTTCGCCCAGAGCTTCGCGTCCGCGCCGGTGGGAACAAAGACCCCCGCGCCGTCGCGCCACTGCGCCCGCATGACCTCCGGGTGCACCAGGTGCGACGGGTGGAACTGCTGGCCGCCGCCTAGGATCCGCGCTTGGCGGAGGACGGTCTCGCTCTGGCCGAACGGCGTCTTGGATGTCGCGACGGCGGGGCCCCAGCCCGCGAGCGAGTCGAGGGTGAGCGACGGGTTGAAGGGCGTCGTGTGCCCCGTCTCCTTGGCTTCGAGGTACGCGCGTATGGTCGGGTTGTCCAGCCCGTTGTTCTCCAAGTTTTGGTCGCCGCCGGTTTTCTCGCCGTCTCGGTCCTCGCGACGCCGTCGGCCTCGACCACCTCCTCTAGCACTATTGCCACTGCCGCGGGCTCGTCGTGGTCGGTCGTCTCGGTTTCCACCCCCTCCACGTCGTCCTGCACCACCACCACCACCGGCGCCGCCGCCACGGTATGCAAAGCCCCCTGCTCCTCCTCCTCGTCCACGGCCGCGGAATCCGCCTCTGATAATATTCGGTCCAGCACCACTACCCGGTCCCTCACCACCCGAGGCACTTCTGCCCCCTCGAAACCCGCCTCTCGGCAAGCTATTCACCGTGATCACATTCGGGCCCTGCGATGCCCTGGCGGGGGCACGAGTAATCTGATTCGAAGCCTCCGAGGGTCTGGATCCCGAGCTCGTGGGAAGCGTCTTTTGGAACGGCGAGGGGGTGGTGCTCTCGGCCGTGGCCAGGAGCTCGTCGACCGCCGCCGCCGCACGCTGGCGGCTTGAGGGTTTTCGCGGGGCTGAATTGGAATTCTCGTCGGCGCTCCGCCGCGCAGCAGAGACGGAAAATTGTCGCAGCGAGGATGCGATGCCGTCGGCTACTCGGTTTAGGTCTGGCCTTGTGCGGCCTATGGCCGATTGTAGGGGTTGTCGGATCATGGGCGCTGTTGTGGTGATGTGAATAATTCGAGGATCTTGAAATTTTAGAGATTTCGATAAGTTGATAGTCGATTTGGGGATATGCATGTACTGGGTACAAAATATTCTCCGAAGCTTTGGCGGTTATTAGGATAATGGAATAAATATGCATATATGCGAGTATATAATTATATACAGTAACTTAGCCCCCCTTACCATCGTGTCAGTTGTCCATTTCATCTCATCTGTATTAGCTACCCGTACGCATGTATGAATTCTTTTATTTCAAATATCATTTAATTCCTAAATTTTAAAATCACAACGCCATCTCCATAATTCCATTAAATCGTAGAATTAACCCATCAACTCTGCAAAGGCTTAGTCATACCCCCCCACGTTATCGTCTTGATGTTCAAGTATTCATCAATGCCGTACTTAGATCCCTCCCTGCCAAAACCAGATTGCTTCACACCACCAAACGGCGTGGCAGTATCCGAGACGAGGCCAGTGTTAACACCCACCATTCCCACCTCCAGGGCCTCAGCCACTCTTGTGATCCTCTCCAAGTCCCTCGAGAAGAAGTACCCCGCCAGACCAACCTCGGCCTTGTTTGCAAGATCCACGACCTCCTGCTCCGAGGCAAAGGGGAACAAACCAGCAACAGGTCCAAAGGTCTCTTCGGCAGCAATAGCCATATCCTTGGTCATGCCTGTGATAACAGTAGGTTGGTAGAAATTCGAGCCTAGTTCCGGTAGCTTCTGTCCGCCGACAACCACCTTAGCACCCTTCGTCTCGGCGTCTTTAATGTGCGTCTCAACCTTGGAGATAGCCCGGTCGTGGATCAGAGGCCCATGCGTGATGCCCTCGTCAAACCCATTGCCAACCTTGAACCCCTTGACCTTCTCGGCGAACTTCTGCGCAAACTCGTCGTAGATTCCCTCCTGCACGTATATCCTGTTGGCGCACACGCACGTCTGCCCCGAGGAGCGGAACTTGGAAGCGATAGCCCCCGCGACCGCGGCGTCGACATCCGCGTCGTCGAAGACGATGAACGGCGCGTTGCCGCCCAGCTCCATGGACAGAACCTTCAGCGTGGGAGACGCCTGCTTCATGAGCAGACTGCCCACGGGCGTCGATCCGGTGAAGGATATCTTCCGCACGGTAGGATGCGTCGCCAGCGTCTCTCCAACCTCGGGCGTGTTCTTCAGCGTCGTGACGAAGTTCACCACGCCCTTCGGGATCCCCGCCCGGTGCGCCAGCTCCGCCAGTGCCAGCGCCGTGAACGGCGTCTCGCCGGGGGTCTTGACGACGACGGTGCACCCGGCCGCCAGCGCGGGCCCGAGCTTGCGCGTCACCATGGCGGCGGGGAAGTTCCACGGCGTGATGAGCCCGCACACGCCGACGGGCTGCTTGATCGTCACGACGCGGTTGCCCGGCACCGAGGCCGGGATCGAGTCGCCGTAGACGCGCGGGGCCTCCTCGCTGAACCACTCGAAGAAGCTCGCCGCGTACGTCACCTCGCCCCTCGCGTCCGTCAGCGGCTTGCCGTTCTCCCACGTGATCAGCTTCGCCAGGTCGTCCGCGTTCTCCGTCATCAGGTCGTACCACCTCCGCAGCAGCTTCGATCGCTCGCGCCCCGTTTTCGTCCGGAAGCTGGGGAAGGCGGCTGCGGCTGCGGCGATGGCTTTCTCGGTGTCGTTCCCG